AGCCTCATTGAGGTGAGATCTGGGAAAATTTTCCCAGAATCAGCATGTATGGTTCAGTGCTGGCAGCCAAACTTGCTAGTGTAAAAGTCACAAAGATTGAACTGGTTTGAAGGAATAAAGAGATCATGAAAAACATCAGAGGACTGACATTGTGAGAAGCTTGGAGGGGCATTGGTGCAGGTACAGTCTCAGTTACACTTGGTGGCACTGTATTCAAAGGATCATGCATAGAATTGGAGGCATGGTGCCATGTACAGAGCCTAGGAGAGGTGATTGGGGAAAGTGCAGCCCAATTGCAGAGGACCCCAATGTTCTGAAGAGTCAAAGAACATAGGATGAAAATCAAGTACATTGACAGCTTGTGGAGTGGACCCAACTGGAGCCTAGAAGATAAGCAGCGTGTGTTGCAGTTGGCAGGAGTGGGGAAGGGACCCAAGTCATTTGGAGAATCTCAGAAGATTGTGAATGAATCAGATTATTGGAGTTTGATTTTGTATTGTTCATACTGTGACTGTGCACTGGTTGTTCTCTCAAGTATTTCATTTATTTTTGATTTATTGGGATCTCACTGTTGAGAAACAAAATTTTATAAGAAATTAGATTTTGAAGAAACTGAATTTTTAAGGATGTGAGACTTTTAAAACTTGCAAAATTTTATATTTTGATGTTCATATTAATGTAAGCTCTTTGGGTTGATTAAGAAGGAAAGGTTGGGGCTTACTAATGATGTGTATGGATGTCAAATTGGTAGGAATCAGTTTTCTGGCTAGTTTTATCTCAACTTGCATTTGGCATCTAGACTTTAGTCTGTGTTTCCTCTCTAGAAAGCTATTCATACTTTATTCTAATAATTATGTAAATTCCTCTTCATGACACCTTATTCTCCTAGCTCTATTTTTTCTTTTTCTTTTTCTTTTTTTTCTGATGACTAACTGATTGAAATGGCTTCTCACCCTCCAGAGGGTATACACGTTTAAAAATTTTATTTGAAAGGAAAGGATGAGGTATGACAGATAGGAAGAATGCAAGACTCTCAGGGGCCCAATTTGCGCAGAAAATGCCTTGTCTGCAGTGTCACCCAACATCTGAGCGAAACAGCTCAGTGAAATCCTTACTGAACTTCAAGAAAAGGTATGGGATTACTTAAGACAGGTGAAAACTCCCCATGCAGGTAATGATCTCAAGGCTTGCTAAGGGAATTTTCTTGTGCATCACATTTTCCAAGGCTTTTTTTTTTTTAAGGTAAAAACTCAAGTGACAGCCTTCCCAGGATCTTTGTCAACACAGGATTTTCCAACTGAATTGTAAATCAGTTCTCTCCACATAACCTCTAACAGTGAATCTTTCAAATGATTTGAAATTATTCATTTATATACCAAGTATTCCCACAGATTTGACTGTGATCAAACGTTAGACAAGTATGCTCCATTTTCTGTATACTTTTTAAAATCACATAATAGAACTATTTCAATTTCACCATTATTATTTGATAATGTTAGATCTTACCAATTTTCCTAGGTAAACTTTACTTTGAAATTCAGTGCAAAACTGGTTCTTACAGTATATAAATTGAATGCAATATTCAAATTAAATGTAAAACAGGGTCTATTGCTTCTTCATCATATTGATAGGTAGCAGTTAATAATATGTACTAAATATCCCATGTTTATTCTCGTTTACAAAATTAGAGAACACAGGAATAGGTTTGATAGTAAAACAGAAAGGAAATACTGATTTTCTGACACTGATGATCGTTCAGATCTTGGAAGTATATGTCAAAAATAACTGACTATAAATATTTACATTATTTTAAGCAATGAGCTGGACTTCAAATGAAAATTTAACATTGCTTTGCTTATGTCTATCATTTAATAAATTGAATGTGTTAAATTCTATATATCCTTTGAGGATTAAAAACAGTTTCTATTAAATAACAGTTTAGCTTGATTATCTCTGTTCAGGGATCTGGATGTGCATATGTACAATCTTTTGTACAATGTACAGTACTTAAGTACAATCTCTAGCACCAATATGGTATCATGCAATTAACATTAACTCATGCCAAAGATGTCCAATGCTGTCTTACAGCAATGAAGGTAACACCATTAGTAAACATCTATAGCATTTTAAGAATGCAAAATAAATTTTGAGACTTTTGGCATCATATTTATTAGAAAAGTCTACTAAGAAATTATATATTAGCTCCAAATAAAATACACTTTAAATAAAATTTTATGTGGAGAATCCCCACAATTGCAAAGCAGAAACTTATGCAAGTCAAAAGCTGTACTGATAGGGCAGGAACATGGCTCAGTGGAAAAATGTTCTTATCACCAAGTCTGAAGACATGAGTTTGGTCTATGAGACATACAAAGTAGAAAAAAAAAACTGACTCCCTTAGGATTCCCATTGACATCCACACTCACTCCAGGGCATGAGCACATGGCGAAGCCTACACAAACAAATAAATAAATGTAATTAGAAAACTATAATGTTGGAGCTGAGCTATATGAACTTATATTAATGACCAAAGTGGAAGAAAAAAACCAACTCAACTATAAAAGCAAAAGGAAATACTTTGTTATGATTTGTTATTTTTTTCCTGGTATCAGATTAATCCATACTATCTAATAATTGGTCTTTAATACATGTTATTAAATTATCAATAAGACTATATTTTTGTTTGCTTACACTGTAACATAAGTGTGGATATCCTCATAACAAGTTCAATGTTATGTAAAACATGAGTAGTAATGTTCTATAGTCCAGGAAAGTTTATTGAAAATAAAATTATAGCAAATATTAAATAGCTTAAGTCTGTTAGCAGCAGCATCAGAAAGAGGAGGAGGAGGAGGAGGAGGAGGAGGAGGAGGAGGAGGAGGAGGAGGTGGAGGAACTGAAAAGCTCTCTTCATCCTCCAAATATTTCTATTTAGAGAAATATCCTAGCAGGATTTCTGTTGAAAATTAGTTTTCGGTATTATGACAAAATATGCATTACTATAATAGAAATAATTTAACCATTCCTTCAAATGAATGTATAAATAGTGGATGGTAAAGCAACCATGCCAATAGAATGTTGCAACTCTCAGCCTTCCTCAGAGTAGACTCTTTAAGCAGTGCATAGTGGTGAATACAGAGAGCCAAAACTGGTGGAAGTTCATAGAATAAATGACCTTTGGATGGTGAGCCATGAAAGGAACATCTCCTTTCTACTCCTACTCCCTCCAAAGCTTAGTAATACCATGGGAACACAGTAGAAAATGTTAAGAGTCACAGAGTTGGCAAGATCACTGCAAAATATCTTCTTCTCATGGCATGACTATTGCACCCATGAACTCACAAAACCAGCTCACTGTCCAGAAAAAATAGCATGAAAAAAGTAATTCTAAGTGTTATTCTAAGACAGGAGCATACCTAGCACAAAGGTAAACTAATTGTTTGTCCAGTGACAAAAATGTCCTGAAAACATGCATACAAGTAACAGATAAACACAACAAGTTATATTAAGGAATACATATATTATATATGAATATATATGAATACATATGAATATATCTGAATATATTCTTCCATATATAGACAGATATAGATAGATATAGATAGATATAAATAGATATAGATATAGACATAGACATAGACATATAGACATAGATGAGACAGAGATAGAGATAGAGATAGAGATAGAGATAGAGAGAGAGAGAGAGAGAGATAGAGATAGAGATATGTAGTGAAACCTAATGAAAAAGATATGAAGGAGAGTGGAGAGAGATATATAGGGAAATTGGAAAGAGAATAAAGAAGAGCAAATTTTGTAAATTACGTTATAATATCAAAAATAAATTAAAAAGACGAAAACTCTAATGTGCTTCATTTAATGTTCATTCACAAGAAAGAAAATTCAAGTAGTAGGTTATATGGTAAAAGTATTAACATGTCTATAGTTACAATAGGAAGAAAATGAGACAAAAATGTCTTAGAGTTAAGACTATGTCCTTAGAGTTAAGAATTGCTAGCTATAAAAGTCCATCTTAGGGATACTAGTAATTATTATAATGCTGCTTCATGTAAAAGTATGCTCCCTATACCTAACCTCTTAAAGGCAAAGTTGTGAAGTAACGTGCTTCATTATTAATGTGTATATTATCTACTTTCCTCATTGTCAGTGGGACCAAGCCTCATCGATGGAGACATGCACACTACTGTAAAGATATGCCATTGTAATCCAGCATCTGTATGTGTATCTCTATAATGTCTAATCTATTACTATATTTTATAAGTACTACTCCATCATGTATACTTTAATGCCATGGGGTATGCACTGAGAACTAGATAAGGCTTTACTTTGAAATGAAGGCATGGCTATGGAAGTCTGTGGCTTGTTTATTGCAAACACTGCATTTCAGCCACAGTTTCAACACGATCAAAATGTGCAGCGTATACAGTTTCACAATGTAATTAGTTGGAAATTGAGGAAGCTTAATTTTAAAATTGAATTGTTCATGAAAATCTATTTTCATACTCTATAGCTGAAGCAGTTTCTCTCCATAAAATGTTTTATAGTTGTTTGAAGAAATTAAGTGTAGTTAATCAGAAAGAACATTATGTTTTGACACCTAATTTGAAAGCCCTGTCTTGAAACAGTGAATGATGGCCTATGGAATTACATAGACCCATAAGAACTCAAATAGGAAATCCATTTATGCTCAAAGTAGATTTCAGTATGGATTAAGTCAGTGCTCTTGTGTCTTTGCGTGAGACATATTTCACGCATTATATATGTTCACTAAAATACACAATTCATTGTTTAACAGATTGAGAAATACTAAACTAATAACACGGTGAATTATCCTATTAAGCATAAGAAAACATATCACTGACCTTAATTCTCCATAACCAGAAAGAAACTATGGAGATACAAAGCACTAAAAGGCAGTGGCAAGTTACTGTTGGTGCAGAATCCTAGTTGCAACTCTTTATGCTGTGTCCTTTCTCCTTCAGTTCCACCAGCAATCATGATGCCCCAGAAGTTCTTCAATGCTACTGCAGAGAGAGGAGAAGAGATGACCTTAACCTGCAAGGCCTCAGGCTCCCCAAATCCTACCATCTCTTGGTTCAGGTAAGTGAAAGCCCCTTGTCTTTTGGGTTGATGCTACTAAAGGACACAGACTAATGTTTGAAGTTGTAATTATTTAGACAGAAACAAAGATTGTCTTACCTCATTTAAAATTAAGGTTATCCAACACCAAATGATCATCCCTGAAAACATACACACAAGTAACATTATAGATGAAGTGGGGCATATTAAGGAATATATGTATAGACATATATGTTTGCATATACATAAATACATGTAAAACAATTAAAATGAGATCATGAATTTGAAAGAGAGTTTTACCTTTGTCTTCTTTTCTTGTGTTTGTCATCTTACTCTTCTTTGCTTGTTTTTTATTTTATGATTATTTTTAAATGCCTATGTTTTTCTAAGAAGAGAGAGTAAGAAGAGAAATGAATTTTAATGAGAGATGAAACGGAAGGGATCTGGGAGGAGTTTGGGGAGAGAAACCATAAGAGAACATATTGTATGAAAAAAATCTATTTTCTTTTTTTAAAATCGTTTTATTTGTTTACATTTCAAATGATATCCCCTTTCCCAGTTACCTCTCCACAGATTCCCCCAACTTACCCAACCCCATCTCCCCAGTCTTCTTTGCCTCTTTGAGGGTGCTGTTCCACCCATTCACTCACTCCTGCCTCATTGCTCTAGCATCTCCCTATGCTGGGTCATCAAGACTCCACAGGATAAAGAACCTTCTCTTTCATTCATGCCAGAAAAGTCCATCATCTACTACATATGTATCTGGACCCATTGCTCCCTCCATGTATACTCTTTGGTTGTTCAGTCCCTGGGAGCTCTGGGTGGCCCAGCTAATTGATATAATTCTTTATATGTGGTTGAGATACCCTTCAGCTCCTTCAGTCCTTCCCCTAACTCCTTCATTGGGATCCTCATGCTCAGTCTGATGGTTTTCTGTATCTGCAAATGTATTGATCAGGTGCTGATAGAACCTCTGAAGGAATAGCTATACAAGGTTCCTGTCAGCAAGAGATTCTTGAAATCAACAGTTATATGGGGGTTTGGTGACGGCAGATGGGACGGATCCCTAGGTGGGGCCATCTCTTTTCAATCAAAATAAAAAAGGAACAAGGAGACGCATATGGTAGATTTTGGAGGGAGAAAAGAATAAGAAGATGATGTAATTTACTATATTTCATAAATAATGAAAATTATAAAAAAGGTCTTATAATTCACTGTGTGTGTGCATGTTTGTGGTGTGTGTTTGTGTGTGTGTGTGTGTGTGTATGTACACATTCGTGTACATATCATGGTATGTTTATGGATATCAAAGGACAATATTCAAGAGCTTTTTTTTTCTTTCACCATGGAATCTGGAATGAATTTAGGGTTCCAGACACTTAGACTTCCAGACTTGTGGATACTTTGATGCTGTGAGGCATATTGCAAGCCCAAGGTGCCATCAATTTTCGGTTGACTGGACTAGATTGCATAGCCAATGAGTGCATCATGTGCATGTGCCCCATGCTATAATTTTTCTGAATGAAAGACTAATAGAGAATGTTTATGTATCTTTTGTGCACCCTTGGTACCATCACCCAGTTACTTATTGATGTTGATTGTTGAACCTAGAATAGGGTCTGTATTAAAATGGATGTATTAGCATTTTTATATGAAAATAGCTGTATATTGTCCTTTTGTGCTATATTGTAAAATAGTTATACAGATGAAATTTCAAGAAATTATCTTGAATTTTGCAAATACCTCAATTGCATTTTACAAAGCTATTCTATGACTATTTCACTATGTCTATTAAATTTTTAAAATGTACTATGACTTGACTATGACTAACCACATTTTATAGAACTCGATTGTCATTGATTATTGCTCAAAGAACTAAATCAAAGGCAATAGAGTTTAAAACTGGACAATCATGTATAGAGACATGAGAGTACAGTTTATGAGGCTGAGGAGATGCCTAAATCGATTAAGTGCTTACCTCAAAGGATGAGGTCCTGAGTAGGATTCTACTGTGTATCTCAAAATGCTGGTCATGTTGGTGCATAGTGTTAAAATCAATGCTAAATAGATAAATACACCAGGATCACAGACCATCACTGTCCAGCCTGTTTAGGCTAACAGATGAGGCCAATGCCAAACCATGTCCAGAAGCAAGTGATAACCTTGAATATGACACCTTGCTATATCTGATTTATCATGTATGCATACATGAACATTTCATACATATATGAAGGTATACATACAATAAATGTAAAAGTGAGTACAGTTTTTGTATGAACACTAAGATCTATTGCCATTGCTATACTTTATAAATGCTAAAGTTCAAGAAAAAAATCACAAAATTATTAGTCACATATACTCCATATATAAAAATATAATGTAGCAAGATTTAAGCTTTACAATTTAATTTAAGGAAAATAATAGGCAATAATACACTTCATTATGTCCTTTTAATCTTTGTCTGATAACAGATTTTCTTATCTTTGTCTTGTTTATGCTTTGAGTGTAATATGATCTAATAAGCCTAACACATCCATAAGCAAGATGATTGGAACTGATACATACAGATAGCAATTCTTTGTAGTAGTATTTTACTAGGATTTCCCATCTGACATTAGGCTACTAACTTCATGTGATCATGATGTATCTTAGAGATTGCTGATTTACCATAAGAAATCTTATAGAATCTCTGATGTGTTTTTATGTTATCTGACCCAAAGACTAAATAATAATCTAGAATGTGACACTCATGATTATGCATTCCCTGAAGTATTGGACAATTTAATTGGTTCACAGTTAATTTCGATAATTTATGTGAAATAAAAATAATATAAGAACTAGATGTGTTAAATTCAAAATATATTTATTTCTACACACACACACACTCACACACAAACACATTATTTTTTTCATCCATATACCTTCAAACACCATTTCTTGCTTATAATGGATATGAATAAATTGAAACAGATGCTATGCAGTTTGATCTAAAAATTGTATTGACAGAATAGGATCGTATTGTTTAAGCATTTGTAAAGATAAATTTACTTTCACTGAAAGACTTTTGTTTAATCCCATTTATCGGTAGTTATAAAAACATGTATCAAAACTATACAAATAAATTCTTGTAAGCAATGGGGAGTGTATTGGATGCACTTGGGGATGCAGAGGGCCTGCTGAATAGAGAAGGTGCACCCCAGTGATATGAGGGAAGCACCAGTATTAGTAACCGTGGATCATGTTAGACGATTCAGCATATTAGATGATGTGTTTAAACAGCAAAAGTACAGCCCTCTTGACAACAAAGCTGTGTTTGCTTGTGTGTACCTGTGATATCAGTGCAGGTGAGAAGAATGTCATGTGGACTCATGGGTCTCAGAGGTGAGTCAGTCTTCATTCAACATCCAATAAATGTAGGGGTGACCTATGCAAACTTAAATTTGTTTGAAGTCCCTGTCTCCAAATTCAGTTACCTGAATTGTTAGGGAGCTAGTGTTCAAACGGAGGCGTGATCATGAGCTGTTAGTTTACACAATACGGAAGAAACACAAAAGCTAAAAGTTGTCACACCGTGATAATTTCCACAGAGTAATCAGCAATACCTAGTAACATCTAAGCGCAGTGTCTTATGGCATGTATTTACAAAAATGTATTCATGATCTTTAATTTCATTAAAAGCCTAACATGACTTATTATTGGCCTTGCTATGTATTTAATCTCTGTATTATTATAGTTGTTAGTATACAGGCAATTCCATTATCCTGCTCTTAGGGACCTATCAGCAGGTTATGTCATCACCTGCTGCTGCCAGGTGCATCAAGTGTGTGCTACAGATAAAAGGATCCCACCCACTACAGAGTCTCCTCTCTTTCTGTCTCTCTGTCTCTCTGTCTCTGTCTCTGTCCCTTCCTCCCTTCCTCCCTCTCCCTCTCTCCCTCTTCCTCCTCCCTCTCCCTCCTCCCTCTCCCTCTCCCTCCTCCCTCCTCCCTCTCCCTCCTCCCTCTCCCTCTCCCTCCTCCCTCTCCCTCTCCCTCCTCCCTCCTCCCTCCCCCTCCTCCCTCCTCCCTCCCCCTCTCCCTCTCTCTCCTCTCTCCTCCCTCTCCCTCCTCCCTCTCCCTCTCTCTCCTCCCTCCTCCCTCTCCCTCC